CTTTGTACACGTGCTATGTATTAGGGCAGCAAATAACGGACGACAATGAATGAGAGTCTAGGTAAGGAAGATAAATTTTCTAAACAGAAAATAATCATGAAAGAATTCGTCTATTTCATGGTTTATCCTTGACGCTAGTGATTTTATTTAATATTTGAAATAGTTACAGTTACTAACGAGAGTCAGTTAATAACATCTAGTACTGAATTTTCAGTATCAGCGTTCTTATACCTCCTTCTTTAGGTGTATTATGATATCGGTTAAAGCAGAACTTAATAGCATAAGTATATTGCACTGCCTACGAGTATAATTTTTGTGATGAAGATCTTTAATTTAAATCGTACTCTGAATGCAGAATAATGTTATATCATAATACCACAATATATAATGCTACTAAACACAACATAAGTAGATAAGTAATATACTGGATGTAAGCAACGAGAGGTAGAATTATACAGTAGTACCATCCACAGTACCTGCAAGCGATCGAAAGGATCTTCCGATACTTAATTTTATCGAACTATTACTCCATGATACTCTAGAACTAAGCATAGCTTCCTTAACTGCTGCATTAATATAGTGAATAAATAATAAATTAATTACTGGAGCTAAGATAAAATAAAAGTGTGAAATATACCGTAAAACTACAAATGCTCCAGTGCCAATATCACTTCTTGTTATCGATCGAATTGTAAATAATGTAAGAAAGGGCAAAGATAAAATACTAAAAAGCATAAAGTTTATAGCCATTAATTTAGCTACGGCTCGATTTTTACTATATAATGATTCCATTGAATTAGGACTATTTCTTCGCTTCAATATTGGCATCCTTTTGTCAAAGCTAGCTTTTGGTTGATTTAATGATTGCTTAAGAATTCGCCAGTAACATAGAACAGTAATAATGAAGGGGCAGCAGGCACAGACAACCATTACAAACAACGTGTAAACAGATTTAAGTGGTGAAGTATAACTTTGATTACAGCCGTTATTAGACCAGTGATGAAATGTAACTAAAGATATAACTGCTACAACGATAGCAACTACCCAAATTATAATGATCATCTGCCTCATCTTGCGCTGAACTTTACGGCAGCGATAATACAATGGATAAAATATCATTAAATAGCAGTCAATACTGATACAAAGTGGATGTAGAAATAAAATTATAATGATAGCAATTTGCAAGGCAGGGAAAAAATTGCAATAAATGATTAAACTTTGCCATTCTACAAATGCCAATCTCGGAAAGACGTAAGCTGCAATATACAAAATGTGCCCAATTGATTGACTAATTAAGATATTGCTGATAACTCGCCGAGGCCAACCTCTAATACAGTACATGATGATAAATGTTAAATTAACTACTAAGGCTAATGAACCAACAGTAGACCATACCATAACAGCTATGATATCAATTTGTTGAATGTAACTTGAGTTGATCATGCTTAATCGGAGAGAGAACGAAAGCCAAAACGCTGAAATATATTTATTGACTAGAGAGACGTTTAGAATATTCAAAAATTAAGGTTTAGATTATTATCCAAATATTGGAATGATACCAGTCAAATTTTTCCGGGAGATCGATAACTGCTGATAAGCACGATTTTTTAGCATGTAAAATAGCTTTTCTCTTGAAAAATAAAAACGTAAAATTAAAAAAATTGTACCAGGCTTACAGATATTTATAGAACATTTAAAAAAAGTATTCAATGATCGATGTACAACTGACTAAATATAGCTTGAAAACAATTGATTAAAATTATCCATTATGCATCATGATATTAGCTATCCACAAAAGTAAAATCGAAATTTTAATAATATCGGTAAATCACTTTTTGTTTAGCGAATTGTTAACTATAGCCTTATTCCTATTTGAAATTAGTGAAGCAACAATATGTCATTTAACGTAAACCCAGACAATAGTAATGATTTATAGGCCGGTGGAGATCTTAGTCGCCAAGGCTTGGTAACACTGTATGTCTGATAAACATTGATTTTTTGTTGATAAAGAGGAGAATAATAAATTAAGAATATTTTATGGTTATAGGATACATTAAATGTAAGCATAGAAATTAAAATACTACTTTTCATATAGTAATAACATGCTAAATTACTAGCAAAATTGAAGATAAATATTGTAGAATAAACTTTAAATATTTTGATTGGATTGCACTAGACTAGTATTTTGAAATATTACTCTGTGGTATACTTATGGTGCTGATAGTAATTATCAACTTCAATATTAATAACCGTAGATTCATTTTGGGATGCTATTATGTAAACTGGATGCAAAGCAATTGACAATTACGGCAATTATGATTAAATTAAGGTATTTTTTGGTTTCACTTATGATGATCTAGATTCATAACAAGAATTGTCCTCTAAGTCGATTGCGTAATTAGCATCATCAAAATTAGCAAGATTACGAAAGGCAGTATCGTTGCTTTGATTAATAAATTTAATTTATGTTAGCGTAGAGAAGTTTTCATGCTGCCGGAATAACTATCTTGAACAGAACCTATTGTTTCCTTCGAAAAGATAGATACCCTAAAGTAATTTAGACCTTGCTCAGTAGTGAAGCAAGCGAATTAGACTGTTATCTACAATCTTATTTAAGGACTAAAAATACATTTTGTTTCATTCGCAATTATATATAGTTCTATTCCTCTAATCACTTCTTGGTCTTATCTTTTACATTGATTAGCTTCGTTTATAAATATGAAATTGATCCCTTAAGGCTTTGATTATTATCGTATGTTCCGAGTATTTCTGCTCATTTAATAAATAAAACATGATGCTTCATTAAAATTAGTTATAACTCAAATTTAGACTCATTCCTTGATAGCTACATTAGAAATAAAATATGAAAACTTACATTGTGTAGCCGTTGACATTGTACTCATAAAATTGAAACTTTTTCGCTATCAACGACATTGTTGATGTTGTCTTTATGGTCCTATGTTTCCAATGGTTACTATAGATTTGAAAATCAGGTTATATATATCACGGCTACAATACTGATTATATTATCAACGGTTACGGAAATAATATCAAACTAGATCCATTTTCAGAAGAATAAATCTTTGTAGGTTTAATAATGGACATAAGAATAAATCATTTTCCATGTAGATAAACAGCATACATGCATTTACTACTGTTATGTTTGTTTTATTAGGAGAATACATGCTTAAAAGTTTTTGAGCAGTGAAATAAAATTATTATTAATACTTGAACTTACGACATCTGTGTAGTAACTAAGCAGCTTGGGTTGTTATCGATAAACATCTGCAAAATTGTTTGCCGTCCTAGTTACGAGTAGGAAATTTTATAAATTCTCCGTTTATCTGTGAAACATTAGATTTGATAAAATGATATAATGGCATAATTTTAAAGTTAACATGTTTCGAATATACCAATAGTTTGGCTTTCATTTTCTACAAATTTTCAGCTTAGTCTTGTCTTATAGTACAAATAATTGTTAAGCGCGATAATAACATTAGCATATTAGCGTATTTCAGAAGAAGAAATATTTGAAGTAAAACTTTGAAACTCGTATAACTGCGTTATTTCTCTAAACTGTTTGAAATGTTCTAATAATAACAGCAATAATAATAAAGAAACTCTATGGACATAACTACCCAATTACTAAAGTATTGCCGAATTAATTATTTCAAGTATTACACAGTTTGTTTTACGACTCTAACATCCTTTCACGATGTTCAAATCCATTGCTTTAGATAATGATTTCAATATGAAACGCGCATCCGAGTTTCTCTGTAATACCGGCCACTGATATTTGCATGAGTCTTAAATATATAAAATTTAATTTGTATTTATGGATACTGCCATATCTAAATAAATAGTTCAGCATGATATTGTTTAAATTTATATTCAAAATTAGACGTTTGCAATGATTATTTCAATCAGTGCAGACCAAGTTGCCGCCGTTTAATGCTTATTTAAGGCAATCGCACTAAATTCTTGCTGCCTCATTATTTCTTTTTCAAAGGCCAAACCGTACGCTATATTTAGAAGCTAAAGATTCCTTTCGTATTAAGCAATTATACAAAGATATTATCATCTTTTGCTAAGAACTCGTTAATAAAACAGGTAATTTATGGAGAAAAATCATTGCGCAGAATAATAAAACAGCAGGATTATTTAAATAATATCAACGAAATGGCAAGCCGTAGATCTAGATAGCTATTAAAATTGCTATACTCGTGGATGCGGTTTAAATCGATTTTACAAGTCTTAATATTTGGATATCAGTATTATATTCAGAATGTATTATGAAATAAACAGTATAGTCCAGTAACTTTAATAAAGGGTTGAAATAAACTTTTCTGTCTCCTAGAAAATAATATATTTTCTAAAAATAATAACAAAGCATTCATCGTCAGAAGAATGTTAAAATTTACTACAGCGCAAAATACTGCGACGCATTGAATAGTCATACTCTCTTATCCACTCATAAAAAATAAAATGGATGAATAAACAATAATAAAGAAATGAGATTTGACAGTATTTTTGAAAGTATTTTTGGAGTCAGAAGTAATACAGTTCATGATAGTGTAACGAGACTATACTGCAACCCCCCTGCTGAAAGAATAAAACAGTCAAATTTTAATTGTATAACATTAAGTTGTTTACGTTAATAAAGTTGAAAAGTAAGAAGACAAACATTGAGGCACTTGAAATGCAGCAGTACTCGTTGTTTAAAGCTACCCTTATTATCATATCAAGAATAAATTTTTGTAACTACACGAGATATTTCAGTAGAATAAATAAACTAACGATAGTTTAGATTTATATAAATATTGAACGTAGATGCGATCAAAAGAAAACAAGATGATAATTCTCAGTTAAAAATTTTTAGCATTCCAATATATTTGATGATGTTATTACACGCTGATATCAAGTATTGGGTAGTAATCTCATTTAATTGTAAAGGAGTTATTTTTGGCGTTAATTAATTTGATAGTGAAGTAAACAGGATATTAAATTAAGGGTGCTCTGTAATTTGTAGGTTCGCCGCGAAAACAACTACAGGGATAAACTGAAAACTTTCTATTTATATCTGATATTTTAATGGCTGCATTAATAATATAATTCGATCTAGATTTTTTTGTTTTCTCTCCAGTACTCTCGGACATCACCGGCATTCTCCAGCTACCATAAACGATATATTAGTGTTTGAAAGTTTCTGATCTCGGCTTAAATATGAGCAAGCTTATACACATTGACTTATAACCAAAGAATTATTGCATTGAATAAATCAATTCTTAATTTCGGCTGAAGAGCTATCTTGTATCTTGTTATCATATCGACAATAATCTTTAAAATATTGTATTTTCAAGGTACATATTTGTTTTATACTAGTAATATCGATCATGAAAATTTAAACCTTTATTTTAGGAAGAAAAAGTGATAGATTTATTTTGGAATACAATCTAGAATAATTTTCAGATTCTACTATTATTAGTTAAGCATGAACTATTTAGTAATTAGAGGACTATATGTTAATTTAATACAGAAGATAAGAATGAGGTTGATACATATTCAACAAATTATTGTATTTATTAATTAATATGCGTAATAGTAGAAAAAATGATCGAAATTATTATTTTACTATAGAATCCTAGAAGCAGAAAGAACGCTAATTTCAACATACATTCGATACTAATGCATTGTATAACTCTAATTGATTTTATGTAATATCAGGGGAAAAGACTGTTAGAAAAATTTCGAGATGTACTATATAGCCTTTAATCATTAATATAAACGTATTACTATTTAAGAATAAGTCATACTTTCCTACTTCTATCTAATCATGGTGAGAGACAAAAACAGGATGAAATAAAATGGAAGCATATACATAGTACAAGAAATAAGCTCATCCTAAAGCGGAGCTAAGCATCATAGCTGTAGAAGTTTCAGTAAATGTCAAAGATGAATAGTTCTGGTAGTAGACTATAAGTGTTTACCTTATATTCAAGAATGATATCAGAGATGACATTGATCTCAATTCAAAGAGCAAGCTAGCACTCTTCCAATGATATATGTTACCTTTTCGATACAATTAAAAGGATTGTGAAGTAGTCTTTAGTGGAAGATTAGTGCTGTTAGTATTGCTATAGGGAGGTTTCTTGACTACCGTCAATTTGCGTCCTACATCTTGATACAAGGCTTTGCGAATACTATTAACATAGTAAGCGCAAAATATTGGATTTATAGCCGGATAGGAAAATGCCAAGAAGCGAAGAGTTTCAAACAAAGGCTGAAACCAGCTTCTTTGAAAAAATAGCGCAAAAGGGTTACTGACAGCATAAAGACTTATAGCAATAAATGGTAACCACAGCACTACAAATGCACCAGCTATAACTGCCATTTGTTTAGCAGTTTTAATGGTAATTGAAAAAAAATTCTGATCAATATGTTTATCGCTTCTGTAGCGATCCATTCTTGTTCTTGAATTAACTATAACTATGATACCAGTGTAGGAAATAACCATCAGAATGAGAGGCACAAAGAAGACTAGACCGTAAATAATCTTTAAATATAAAGCTTCCTTTTCCATATCCCTGCTTCTTTGAATGCAATAGACATTGCTGATAGGTCTGAAAAACATTAAAGGTGAGAACGCAGCAAAAGCTGCCACCAACCATATCACAATAATGACTGTGATCATTTTGCAATGGCTAATGGAGATACGATATTTTAATGGCCATCGCAAGGCAAGCAACTTATCAATACAGATAAGGCACTGATGAAAATTGAAAATTAGCGTAAAGTGTACACCAATTGGACCTGATAATGAACAGTAGATTGGCCATCTTAAATATTCCAAATTGGTCCATTTCGGTAGAATGTAAACAGCACCAAATAAAAATCCACTGATAAACATACTTTGCAAGATATCATTGGCAGGAGTACGCAGCTTTTTTCGTCGAACGATGGTTATGAAAATGAAGGCATTGGTAATGATACACATTCCTCCAATGATGCCCATTAGAACATGACTATAAGTAAGGTCTGGAGCTGGTTGAGTATTTGACATCGATGGACGGTTTGTCGAGTTACTGTTGTTTAACATTGAATTCATGGTGGCGTGGAATGAAACTTTGAACTATTTTCTATCCCAAGCAAAGTAAGATTACTTATCTCTTAAATTCACTAATGAAGCGGTAGCTTCAAAAACTTTTACTAATAAGCCAGTTGAAGATGAGTATTGATGACGTTGGAGAACCCAGTTGCTTTAAACAATCTCTAACTCAATTGTCTCGCTTTTTTCTTCTCCTAGCAGCATTTGTCTGGATTAAAAACGATAATGAATGCCACAGTATATGTTATGGAAATTAATTATTGTTCAAATACGTTTGGCTATTGTTAACACTGCAGACTCTTTTTCTCACAATCATTTATAACAATTTTTCTAATATCGCGTAGGATCTATTCTAAATAATTTTGATCATCGATGTGGCAACTTCAAACATAGATCAGTCCGTAAAAGAACAATCTTTCTTCAATTCCTTTAATTGGTAATATTATTGACTTATTTTGAAACTTATTTTTTTAACATTTTCGTTGAGAAAGAAAGGATCGTTTAATTAAGAAATTATCATTATGACATTATCTGATTTCCAAAGAGACAAAGATAGTTATCAATAGTCTCCTATTAATGATTATAGATAGCGGAAAAATTGTCGTCAGTCAATCATGGACGCCATCTAGATTTTATATTTGATGACATCTAGTCAATAACATTTGTAGTGGCTAGAAGTGAAAATAGGTGCTTATCAAAAATATCCTGCCTTACCTCTAAAACTAGCACCAGATTAACATGATTAGCATTAACTCGAAAGATGGCAAAAGATTTAAATGAAAGATAATATAATAATCGGTGACATATTTGTCATCAACAATGGATGTTCTTCTAAGGTACCTCCCTCAATTTCAAGTTGTTATTTTCTAGACCTCTTTTTGACATTTATAAAGCCATAATATAATCTGGATTCATTGTAAAAATGATGAGGTAACACACATGTTGATACCATTCTTACCTTCTACAATGATTTGCTAAGGGGTCCATAGTGATGTTATAAATTTACCCTTGAATCGGTTGAAATAATCAAAGCATGGATAAACTATCAACATTTTTTAAAAATAATGCTTAAAAAAGGTTTTACAGAGATGATCCTGAAGTTAACAAATATGATTACTGTAGTATGTTATCATAACATAATTCTTTTATAGATAAAGTCGAACCATTACCGAACGATCAACATTTCAGAAAAACAATTCTATAAAAGGTGCTGCAATGACGGTCAAGGAGTTAACTAACAGGATTATAGCAATATGTCATCATGACATATTTAGATAGAGGCTCTCTTGGTTACCAACAAAGTTGGATTGAAATTTTAATTTGGCCATAGTAAACAAAGAAGCATCAGCAAAGCGAACGCCGGTCTTATTGGATATTCTTTTATTGACTTCGACACGGTCTTAAATTAAGGTTTATCATATTCGAATGTAATTTGATCTAGCAACTGTTTCTCATAGGCTGGAATCGATTTTTTTTTTGCGAGAAAATAACCATTTATCGTCAAATTTTCTTTGAGTTTTTAAACAAAGGAAAGAGGCAACAGATAGCGTTATTCAAAATTGTTTACTAAAAGTCTTAAGTAAAGGTTAATGTTTTCGTAAAGTATCTATAGAAGATTGACGATGGTTAGAATTACATCAATAACCAATCATAGCATCCATCAAAGACATTCATGAAGAATCAATCTACGTAGAGATGGCGTTAAATGCTAAAAATGAAAATAATTTATGTCGCAAAATTTCTATATTTGATCGTGATTCAGTTTCCATGCAACATTTAGAGAAGGCGAAACAATACTAAGGCATAAAAGATTATGAGTCATAAAAACGTCTAATTTAACAAACAATTACTGTTTTGTAATCTGTATTGAATCTTTATTAATCCGGATAAAAAGAGTGTTAAGTTTTATTTTGCAATGAAATAAACTATACTGATTGATTGTCCAGTAATTAGAGATCATGATTCTTTTTGATCATAGACTATTATTCAATCCAAATCAATTGCTACAACTTAGGCAAATAATCAATAATAGCAGTTATTAGCAGTTTAATCTCAAACTGCAGTTATATCAGTCTTATTTGATCAATCAATTAAGTTTACTTGCATATAAGATAAGTTGCAATGAACTGATGATTTGATAATAATGTTTATTCGTACTTTACATCTATTCCTTTAGTGATTCTGATCAAATTTGAATAACAAATTAACCTCAGTTACCTGCGAATTATGCAGTTATGAACAGATGATACTTAAGATGAGAACTTATATTCCGCCTTTAATGTTAGTTATCCTTACTGTTAGATTTAATAATGCCGATAGGTACGATAGTAATTGTAGTCTCTCCTTTTAGAGGATAGTTGATCTGATTTAGTAACATCACTGCTATGGCTTTATGATATTATTAATTCACAATGCTACTTCAACGTTCACTTTAGGTAATGAAATTGTGAATCCAACTTGAAACAAGGACTGACTATCTCAAATAGTTCGAAAAATAAAATAATTTGTCATTGCGATAAGAGTTTCAGCTATGAGTAATAGAGCTTAATAATGTTGGTAGTTATAAACAGTTCAACATAGATAGCAAAAGAAAGAAGTTATTCAAATATTGGATAATCCTATGATCTAATCGATATAATATGATTCATAGATCATCTTATAATACGCGATGATTATTACTGGAGTCATCTAGAGGCCGATAAATTGATACTTAATCATAAGTAATAAATATACATGTCGGAGACTATTCTAGGATATTGTGCTTTTTACGGTAAACGTTATGATGAAAATATTAAATAATCATATCTACTAGACGATATGATTTGTTTCGCAGGTCATCCTAGACTATATTATTGATATTGCTGGATGATCTGATGGATAATAGATTGATACTTTATTGATCATAAAGAACAAACATTATTTGTCGGAGATCATTCTGAGATATTATAGAGTTTATGATGAAAATATTGGATATCCCTATCCATTCGGCGATATGATTTGTTTCCTGGATCATCCTAGATTACGTGGTTGATATTACTTGATAATCTGACGGCTGATAGATGGATATTCAATTAATTATACGTATGAAACAAAATTTATCGGAGACTATTCTAGAATATTATAGAGTAAACTTAATATTAAGAACTTTCTATAATCTTATTCATAGCATTGCAACAAAATGAAGTGATATTCTCAAGTAAACTCGTACAGTCTGATAAAAATAGCTAGTGTCTATAATTCTGCGCCTAGAAGTAACAATTATAATTTTTAGTGACGTGGTTGGTACTCCTATTATACTGTACAACGATTCATCAGAATCGTAAGACAAGATCCAACAGATCTGTAGCTAAACTAAAATCAGATTCATTCACCTTTCATTATAACCTGCTAATAAATATTAAGCTGAACATTAGGAAGATTATAATTAGTATGGTTAGTATTACGATGCTTCATTCGTAATTCTTCAATCCGAAAGAATAGTAAGGTTAATCGCTTGTGAAGAAGGTTTTAAATTTAAATGAGGTTTCAGAACATGAATTATTTTAATACCTGATGAAGCACCCTATCATTTCTCAAATCATACTGTAATCGTGCAATTACCGCAAATGTAGTTTAAGCTAGAACGATTCACAAATATGATTAAATCACTACTGATAAAAGCCTTCCTAAGGCTATAATTATCAATCCATATTTCAACTTTTATACCGGAAAAGAGTATTTAGCTTATGTTATAAGCATAGGACATACTACAAAAATTAAAGTCAATATTTCTTTGGGTCTAGAAAGTGCTTACTATAAAGTTGAAAGTATTTCGCACACCAGTTAAAATACTCAGGCTCATATTTGAAGACAAAATTTATTAAATAATTAGAATAACAAGTACATTTATAAATTTTCTGTTGGATAACAAATAAGTCATTTTTATCAATTAGTAGTGAAATTAAAGTGTATAATAAGAATTAAAACATTTGAAGAAGTAAATGGAAGTGCTAACAATAACGTTGGCTAATTTAGAGCCGTACAAGAAAGCATCACTTTATTACTATGCTAGAATTTTTTCGCAATATTTTAGTTCATCAACTGTTTGAACATGGCCATTTAAGTATTTTAAAGCTTTATTTGAATCATTTTTATAATGTAGTGCTTTATTGTTATATTTTCTTTGTCATAGTTAGCGCGTTGGCAATAAATAGCTATTAGTGAGCATCATAGTAACTGCAGCGGTTGCCTTAGGCAACTATAGATGAAATAGTTTTTTCCAAAAATAACAAAATAAGTACTTCATATTATGATTGTGATGTGGTCGAATTTGGTGTACTCGTCTTGCATTAAATGTAGGTGGTCTAATTCGATTTGTGATAGCATATTCTGAATAAACTAAGTGGTCTAGAAAGGAGATAGATATCCTGCAATCAAATTAGGTAAAATGAGAATCGCATTATAAAATTAAATTTTTTTCTTATAAATCAAGATTGCTTAATCTCTATTCGGTTTTATCATTTAGGATTAATTTTGTTGCTTCTCAAAGTAATATGTTAAGACAATTTAGTCCGCAAATTTATAAAAAAAATCAACATTTTAGATCTGTAGATCTACATGAGCATTAGTACTATTGAATATATAATTGATGACCCATTAATGATAAACTTTCTGTTACAAACTTGTAATTCTGTAATCATGCCGTTTGTACGTATGCCTGCATACCATATAGGAACTTAAAATGCAGCGAAGCGAACTTGATCGTCGACCGTTTCTACATTCGTTACGGTTTTACCAATCGCTGGTATCACCTGTTTGTAGAATTATTTATAAATCAGAGAAAATATGCTATCATCAGCAGGAAAGTATTACATCCGAAATTTGACTAACCGATATATTATGTCATAAATAATTTAATTGATGTGTTTCTTTACCTTACTAGAAATCCTGTTACTAGAGGCTAAAGATGCTTCAAGCGATATTGTTGCCCTAGACTGAGGCGACGGTTTTTTCTTAAAGACAATAATAATAGCAGCTCTTAAGCTTTTAATATAATAGCAGTACAACAAGGTTGATACCGTTGGATATAAGAAGAAGATGATTCTGGGTACGAAATAGGCTGAAGTGAAATTAATATTAGTCGATACTTTAGTATAATGTAAGACGCTTGTTACGGTGTAGGGGAAGCCCATAGCGGCATAAACGAGAGTCATAACAGCCATCTGCTTAGCCATTTTGGTATTTTTTTTACGGAAACGTGATGTACACTTAGTATTAGCACTATTAAAGCGTACTCTCCATCTCCTATTAATCAGAGTATAAATTCTGACGTAGCAATAACTAATAATGGCTAACGGTACCAAAAAGAAGATCCCTGTAATAGCCATAAAATGATTAGCGTCAAAAGTAGAATAATCTTCCAGGCCATAGCATTTATTGGTATCAATTCGACGATAGGTTAATACTGGCGTAAATCCAATCAATAATGATAGCATCCAAATTATAGCAATAATTAAACGAATACCATGACTAGTAGTTAACCGGCGATATTTAATCGGTCTGGAAACGGCAATATAGCGATCGATGCTAATCGCACTATGATGAATAGCGGTATTAAATGCCATTCCCATGGCTAATAATATGGATACTGAACAATAGACTTTAAGTAAATTATGAAATGGGAAAGCATATTTTAAGCATACATAGAAAATTGCCAATACCAAATTACCGGCGAACATACTGGTCATAAGTTTATACATTGATAAGCATCTTAATCGCTTATTACGCTGAATAATAACAATAACGAAAACATTACAGATAATTGCTGAAGCACCAATAACGATCCAAATAACCATTGCCGCTATATTGACAACAGGAATATATTGGGCGCTCGCTGTTGTCTCCTCGTTCCCTTGCATTATATTGCTACTTTAATAAGAATTTTAAGTAGAAAGTGCTGAGGCTGTATCAACTGCTCTCCTACCAACAGAAAAAATGAAATTACTATCTATACAAACTATTTACTGAAATAAGATTTTGCAATATTAAATGCTACAAAATGCTGATTACAATATTTTATAGACACGATGCTAGAATGGAATATAGATTTTATCGTAAATATATCGTTCACCTTCTCTGTTTCTGATAATTCGTTACTGATACTTTAATGTTGATGGAATGGCTTATCGAAGAAGTAAATAAAGCAGGATTAGAGCATAAGCCAGATCCGATTACAAGTACATAACCAATCGTAATATTATATTATGAATTATTCTGATATAAATTTTTCATTATAAACAATACTATTAGTGACTGAGAGCTAATCTGGATTACATTATGTTTTTAAACATAGAATATTGTAATTGTGATGTAAATTAAACCAGTTGTGGCAGCAATTTTGTAATAATTAAAATTTTCGCTTTCAGCAGCTGAATCAATAATTCTCTGCCGCCTTTTTCTTTGGTCTTGAACTGGGGATAGAACTGCTAAAAAGTTCAGACAATTACTTTATTCAACTTGTATATTTCCACTTTATGTTCTTTAATAGGGTAAGACTCGGTTGAGAACGGCTCAGTTTTGCACGATTATTTACTGTTAAACTATTCGATATCATTGATATTGTGAAGGTATAATTCGATGTTTTCAATTTTCATATGGTTTTGCAGAATGGTACCAGGGTTCAAGTGATCTAATGGCTAAAGTTCTATAAGTTATGATTGACAACTTTGAATTAAAGTTGAATTTATAATACTCACTTTACTTTTTTACTTTGACATTAAATGATAATATAAAATATTAAATAATGGATAAACAGCCGCTTTGCAGATGCATAACTCTTAGTTAAAAATAAAATATTTATTGCAAACTCGTTTATTGATATAGCTATAGCTAATAGATAAGTAGAATTCAAAATATTACCGTTTATAAGCTTTTCTTTGAAATGTACGACAGTAGTCTACCAGGACGAATTATTAATAGTGACCAATTTTCAATTGACACTAGGGTAAACATTAACTTGAGAGTTGTATTCTTCTAGTCACTATTTTACGGTGAGTAAATTTACCTTTGCAGATGCAAATACTAATTAGGTAAGTTAGATTTAACAATAGGCTGATTTTGAGAGACATTATGTCATAGTGGGCTGGAAAGGAAATTTGTAAATATTAATTTATTTACAATGATTAGAAATAGATAAAAAAATGAATTCCGACTCAAAATTCTACTAAAAGAATAACTATAATGCTAAAGCATATGAGAAATCAATATTTTAAGCCGAAAAAAGAATTTTGAATTGCAAATTGAAAAGTTAGATTATTTGGCAATCAGCTGACAAGTTTAATTAATGTTACTCTAGTAGGAAGTAATAGAGCTTTATCGGAAAATAGTCAAAATTTTCGGTTTCATGATTTTATATGCGTTAGAAATGTGTTGTTTTAATTTAAAAATATTTAAAACTGTAATAAAAGTACTCGAATCATACTTTATTCTTGGCATTGTATTTGAGAAGATACTTCGCCTATTTAATCAATAGGAATAGACATAGACGTAAATTTAACTTTATTAAAAATATTTGGTTTCTTCCACATTGCCTTTTATGTATAAACAGGAAATAGATTAATTCAAAAAAAGATACATGAAAAGAAACGTTGCAGCAGAAATTCGTTAATTAAATATAGAGAATAGGCAGCAATTGCTATGCTTCCCCAAGCAATCATTGCTGTATAAAAGTAATAAATTATGCACGGTCGCTAATGGATAAAACAAAGTTTCTTCCTAATAATTTGTATGCGAAGGTCAAATGTCAGTTATCTTCTTTATATATATAAGCTTCATAACCCAGCAAAAAATATTAAAGAAGCAATTTAAATAATTAATTGAATATGTCTTATAATTATAGCTGGTGAACTGGCAGTAAAGTATGTTGATCACCAAATTCCAAATCCAATCTACTGAAAGCTGTTGATATGGTTTTCTATTACCTACCTAGAATTGTTTGTGCTCTGTTAATTAAAACAAGCTTATTTTAGAGCTTATTAATATCCTTTAATGGCCACTGAAATATGTATGCGAGAACAGTTTCATTAAATAGGTCAAGGACATTTTTATTATTAGTATTATTCTTGGAAAGAATTGCACTCAAAACGTTAATTTAGACTATGCACTTAACTTTCTTAATTCAATTTGAGACTGCAATTTTATTCAAGATAATGAAACGAAAGTATAAGCAATCGTTGAGCGTAAGCGATTAAGTTAGGCACAGCCGATTTATATTTCTGATTACGAAGTCAAAATCAAATGATAGACTTGATTTGATCTAATTATTTTTACATACTAATTATATCCAATGCAAAACATTTGACATCCATAACAACAAATTAGTACCTAGACGCTATTACTATTTTCGGATTGTTTCATAAAAATATGTGTTAGTTACTATCTATGTTTGAATTTCAGTAATAATCTTCTTGTATCCTTAATCAATATAAATTGTAAATTTGCTTCTAGTAAGATATTTCTTTGATGTTTTATGATATCTAGTATTTCGTTATTCATACCTTACTATTTACGCAATGTAAGCTTTTGCTGTAAAATTACATTCTGAAAAAGTTAACGACATTAAATTTAAAGACATTTTTAATTATATCAAAAGAAATTGCTTAATCACTCTACATAATTACGGATAAAGCTTTGAAATGTTTTCCCAAAATCCGAATTTATGGTTATTTTCTATCGATTCCGCTACTGCATTCTGTTTATATTTTTTCTAATGAATTTCAAATTAAGAATCAGTTACTCGTTCGACGTCGTATTAAAAGCACTTATTAGGCCTCGAATATTCTTCTTTGAGTTCTTCTTACAGTGCGGCACTTCATATTTATGATAGCTTGACTTATCTCACTACTTATAATAAAGTATCTTTTCATAAATATAACAAGAACTACAGTTTCGCGTACATTTCACTATATTACATAAGTTTGGTTCATCTCACCTCTATCAATGTCTATCCTGACAATCTAAAAACCTGATAATCTTAATTATGACAGCAAAATTTACAATTTATAAACAATTAATTACTGAATGCTTTCCAGCTACACAGCTATATCTTGCCAATTATACAATTAGAATTAGAGAGTGAAACCTGATTGCCCTTGAAAAAGCAAAAGGAAATGATCCAATAAGAAGAAATTTCCTTATTGCTGGATTCGGGTTCTAAGTATTATGGATTTTTCAGCTGCTGCTAAAACATACGACCTTTACGCTGCCATTGATAATGCTATCGCAGCCTGTTTTTCATCATTTTTAATAGGCAAACAAATACTTTTTTAAATCATATCGAGGCTATTAAAACTTCAATTAGACCAAAAATGTAGAGTTAGAAATATGCCCAGCATATAAAACCATACTATTTCGATTAACCACATAAAATTAGCAGACATTTTTGCTAATTTAGTTTGAAGGTGAGTAAATATTATAAGAACTATTGCAATGTGTAAATACGCAATTAGTTTTTTAGTATATTCACGACAGACGAAACTATAGCACTTAAAACAATTTTCTACGTAAATTCCGGTTAACTATTAGAAACCTAAAATTAAAATCTAGTTTTTCTATAACTAGCATTAGCGTCTTCAAATGCAATTTCTGTAATGAAGCAAGCTTATTACAGAGCGCTATAGTCAGCTCATATATTGCCAATATTATGGATAAAATTAATTTTAAAGCTGTAAATAGCTCCTAATATTTGTGTATTAGCGCTTACAGCTTATTATAAATAATTAATCAAGGCTTGTAGAGGTACTCTTAACAACTACTGCTATTTTGTAGTCGAGATAAGTGACAATTTGATATCGTGTATCTTTTACTATTTTCTTGAATTTTTTGTTTAAAAGATCCTACAGTTATACGATTAATTAGTTGATCATTTGTACGGTATTGGAAGTGCTTTTGCAAATTCACTGTTAGGTTTTATAAGTTAGCAAACTAATTGGTTTTCTTATCGTCATTCTAACATATGTATGCTAGTATATCTGCATGTATATGACTGTTTGGATAGTGTATAAGTAAATATGTAATTAAAATAAGAATAAATAACTATTTTCAATTTTTTATGCTAAGCCTAGCTTGCTAAATAATATAGAAAATCTTATAGCATATAGCTATCTGATACATTAAAGTGCGAAGAAATTTTGATCATGCTTCGATATATGTGCTATACTATCTTATGTCTTAATGAATCATTTATTAAATCATCATTATCCTGAATAATCTAGAATAAGATTGAGATTAATAAAACAGTGATAAATACCTGTAAATGGTAAATACTCGAATAAGAATCCTTGTTAATATAGTAGTTACTACAATAACTTATTAAAAGTGGCAAATTCCTCTTAATCTAATTGATCGCAACGTAAGATAGCGACAAGTAAGGCTTTGTTCTCGTGGTATTACGCTCTACACAGTTTTCAGTCATATCAAGTATCCTATACTTAAAATTATTTTCTGATCATTCTGAGTAATCACCATGATATAGTCGAATTTTAATAATGAATCATAAATATTTCGCTCATGAAAGTGGAAATTAGAAGAAAAATTGTAACATAAATTTTTACACGCAAAGAGATAATGATATGATATGATGCTTCAACCGTGATTTAATACATTCTATGTTAAAAATGGCTATTGCTCTTTTAGCATTGTAATTAAACAATTGAGTTATTACGAACGTAAAGGTACAATTAATTTAATTTATAAGTTTAAATCAAGGATAAAATGGAGACCAACTGCTGAAAATAACAAGAGTTATTGATGTCTTACATCTTAATCTTTCAATTTTTTTAATAACCTTTACGTAATAAAATTTATAATGATGAGATTGTAACATTTTGTTACAGTAAATACTAAAAATCAGTTAATCTAATTCTGGAGGAAACTTTCTCGCTAAATTTGTATGATTAACATTAGATATATTGGACTGACGTATTGATAATTCAGTATGCACTCGTCGACGTTGTCTGTTGCAACAGAAAGCGTTGTAATCTTTAATAACTTCCCGTCTTAAACTCTTCATGTTATAGGCATAAAGTAGTGGCGATACTGCAGGATAACTGAAAGCGAAATACTGAACAATGTTTATAACTGTCAGTTCAAAAGGAGAATAGCTTGTTTTAACCCTATATATTAAAACAATTGTAACATAAGGGCACCACATTACAATTAATACTGATGTTATAATAGCAACATTCATTACTAGTTTACGATTTTTCTGTAAGAAGCTTAATTTTGTACTATTTTGATGTACAGGTAAAACTAAAGGATCACGATGGTTAAAAATATGAATAATGTGAGCGTAAGTTATTAATATAACCAGTAAAGGTAGAAAAAATAATGCACCCAACAACGTAAATAAAAATACTGTTTCAGCCTCCACATGTTGCGTTGTTAGATTACAAATTGGTCCTTGAATTGGGCTAAATGTCATTAATGGAATAGAAGCACCAGTAAAAGCTAGTAACCAGATCAATAAGACAACCGTAATTACGATTTTATTGTCAGTATATAGACGATATTTAAGTGGGGAAAGAACTGCCAAATAACGGTCTAGACATACTAAACACTGATGTAACATAAAAATGACACTTAATGCTTGACCAAACGAGATTACGAGGTGGCAAAATGAACCTAATTCCATCAAATTTCCATAGGCGAATCTAGGTATTAAATAGATAGATCCAAATAATATACCAGCAGTAAACATGCTTGCCAAGATGGCGTTAATCGACGACCATAATCTATTTTTCCGACATATTAAGATTAACATATACGAGTTGGTTAAAATGGTGATCCCACTGATTGTACTCCAAATAATCGTTTTGTCCACGGGATAAATAAACTTTGTCGTCATTTTACACGTAGTTATTATTTTGTGTTACGATCTTTTTTGATTGTTAGCATGATCAGTAGTGAGGGGAATAGCGTAACAAAGTCGTGAAGTAGCCTATTTGCCGTTAAAGTACAACAGGTAGTTTTGATCTTGTAATTTTATGTTTGCCTAGAATTATAATATGGTTGCCAAAGTTAAATGTTGTTGTTTTCTTGAATTTTGATGTATTTAGGTTATGTTATTCTCTACTTTTAAGAAATCGCTATGAATAGTTGTGTATTTGCTAGTTGTTTGAAATTAGATATCTTGGGGTCTACAACAATTGTAAAGCTCGCAGCGGGCTATATAAATCTTAATTTACGCGTCCAGTAATTTATCTAATGGGACTAAAGGCAAGGCTAACGCTAGAATAGCGTGTAAGTCTCGTATGTCAATACAATCGAAGATGTTAGAAAGATTTTGACGTAAACGGCAAATAAATAGCATTTTACACAACAATGACAAAGGCCAAGGCAATAATAGTATCTAAGGCTTTATCTTCTTCACAAAGGTTTCATCATGCAAATTGCTAAATAGAACATGATTAAAGGACATAATAATGCTCTATAGAAATATAAGTAAGTAATTGACACGCTAACAATGGGCGAGAAGTAATTAGTTAGCTACTCTATAGCTTGTAATGGGCGATTTTCTAAAACATGATCAAAGATTATTATAGCAGACGTAGTCTCGGGTAGCCTTTGACGTTGAATTTTGAGATCATATGTAAAAGTGTTTACCGCTATTTAATGGATAGCATATTACTAGAGTGGTTATGGAATGACAATTATTTCTAAATCACGAAGACAAGTATTCCAACTAGTTTTTTTAGAATTAACTGAAAGTAAATCGCTCCAACTAATTTCAATGCATACTTGCTTCAGGTAGTTTTCTATTCCTTTCACACAAACTCTTAGTAGCAGATAAATAGTACGATTAATGGGTTACTGGACGTTATGTTTCAAAATTTCTTTTATTAATTTGTTTACAGCCTACACTACTCGTATTTTGCTATATGTTGATGACAACGATTCCCTAATATTGATTCTAATCATATTCAATATTGAAATATTTCTTGAAAGATTAGAAGGCTAGTTGCCATAGGCACAATAATATAGCTACTTGGGTGTCATAACAAATGATAGATATAATTATTGCGTATCACTCATGAAAAACATGTAGTGGACCGTATTCATATGGTGAAGATGTGCAAAATTAGTCTAACTTTAGTGTTTAAAGTTGTATCTCTGCAGCCTATAGTATACGTAACAACATTACATTCTGGATGACAATTGTTTTTAAACTTGCAGTAAAATCATTCAAGCTGAATTAATGCATAATACTAGTAGTTCGTATATAGAACATGCACTTAGGCAATGCTACAATTAAATCTTTCGTGATACGGTGTTGTATTAGCAGCTGATAAAATTTATCGCACTTGTTATGGCACTTTCATAACGATAATTGATATTTAAGTATTACATCATGTATTGGAAAAATAGGATAGTATCTATTCTGTTCTAAGCATCTGGATTTCATGATTAGCTAAGTAGTTTATATTCGATAAACTATGACTTCAATATGCAGTTTCACGGTACAAATAAGTGAATTACTGGCAGACGATTGTTATTCCACAATTTTGTATTCAGCAGTATAACTTTGAAAATTAACTATATCCTAATAGTATTTATGCCGCTGTATTCTGGTATTAATTATTCATATTTGATATCTACTCTAGAATTAGCCCTATCCTAACTTTTTATTTAGATCCTTTGCTCTGGGCATGAATAATGGCATTGCGATATACTTAGACTATTTACAAGTTTAATTTCCATGACTATTTGTAGAATTATAAAGAATTTGGAAGACCAAGATGATCGAAATTCTATTTAGTCTTCTAGTTGCATAGTTAAGCTTTAATTTCAAGGTTTCATCTTCGCTTTTTTCAACAAGAAACCATAAAATACGTTAATTTATAGATTGCTACCGAATATATTTACTGAAGCCTAAATATTCTATATTTCATCATTAGCAATTAAAAATCGAACCACTGTCTCCAATATTTAGATCATTTAGAATTTTATTTTATATCATCATATTAAATATTTCGTATCGCATCTATAAGAACTAAAAGTCAGATCAAATTCTATAGCAATTAGATCATTTTCAATTTTATTGTGTATCGTCATTTTAACTGACGAAATCAATCGATGCAGTTATAAGAAGTTAATCTGAGGACCACTAAAGAAATTTTCTTTCATTATTCCCTAGTTGATTAATCTAATACTTACTATTTAATGCGATTTTAGTTTAGGATTTACTATAGAGCCGTGATTAGCTACCGTATCTGAAATATTTTTACCTTAATATATGGTTAGAATCGGAATGTCTTTCACCATCCTTTTATAACATTCGTGAACGATTTATCTTGCCACTATTTAAAGTAGAGAAAATTTTTTAATTCCATATATTCTTTATTCCTTCAATGCTAATTCATGGAAGAAATTTAGAAATAAAATTTAGCTTAATGTTTTTGTGAAATAAATAGGATATGAAAAATTACATGTGAAGACTGAAACGAGCTCCACGATAATTTGAGTGATGTCATTAACGGACCATAATTGCTTAGTTTAGAAATTATGAGCAATAAGTTCAAATATGATAGTGTAATTATTTGAATTCTTACTTGAACTTCGTAGGAAAATATATCAACGTAGGTGGGATTATGAATCAGCCTGCCAAGTAAAATTATCTTGAACTTTGTACTCGTATTTCGCCATGAAATTTAACTTATTTATAAGTATACTGGTAATCAGTATTTTGCAATTTCCTTCTCTTACACTCCGAAATCCTAAGATAATTCAGCTTATGTTGTAATTGTCGCCCTTAATGTATATATATATGTAAATGTGGTTTGACGTCGAGGTTTCCTGGTAAAGATTCAGGGATGAAGTAATACTTTTGTAATCTTTACAAGTTATGTTTATTAACTTCTATCCAAATCAAATTAAAACTACTCCTAGCAATGCAAGAGGTCATATACCACTAATGCTCACCACAATCGATATCTCGAGAACTTCGCTACTTAAAGAGTATCTCTTCACACCAGAAGCCTTCGAGAGAGCCCCTTTGCAATGACATGCACAGTTATAAGTATGTACAGTCTTTCGGCTACTAGCTCCTTTTTTACAGATAAGTCAGATCACCTGACTTCATATAGTTCTCTTATCATATTAAGTACGAATATAATTATCGTATCGTATATTTTACTGTAAGGTGATATCCGTGCATATTTACAACGGTACTAGTTTAGAGCATACAACAAATACTGTTGATAATACCAAATTACAGCAGCTTATCTATTCCGAAATCCATAATACAGTTTTATTTACAATTGATATTATTCCAATATGAAATTTAAAAATTTGCTTTTGTGAATCCGACCCCAATCCAAACTTAACTTTTTAAAATCCGGCGAGCGGTGATTACGGGAGTAATTAGTATTCGAATCTAGCTGATAAAGTTCTTGTACTATATTGCATGCTAAGTAATGCATCAGTAATATAACGGAGCTTTAATTTAGCCTACTTTACTTTTAATAGCAGAAATATAACTATTATTGACAGCTTAAATCGCTTATGTCAAACTCATAATAAATTTTTACCGCCAAAAAATTTATGAAGATGCAGCCTTGGTATTACGAGAGACTATTTTCTCAATTAAAATTAAATCGAACTTTAAAACTTCAGTTGCATTTGGCTACAATCGTCTGTAGGACAAATGCTAGAACTTATATGAATATCAAAATTTCATATTGTAAAGTAACTTAGCGTTGTGATTGCAGAATATTAGCCATGTTTAGTATGATGTATGACAGTGTCTTTTTTATATTTATCTTATGATAAATATTTAGTAGCCTAAAATTATAGACTGTAAGGATAGACTCTATGCTAGAGTGCAGATGACTATGTACATTAAGATGATGAGCTCACTAATAAGATTAAAGGTAGAATAGAGTTGAAAATTATATGTTAGGATATGCTTAGTTCGTTGTACTTGAGTGGTAGGAATAATGTCTCCGAAAGTACTGTAATTATTTCCATATTGAATTAATGATGTTTTGCTGTAAAGTCTTATGACCAATAATAAGCTGAGTGTGCGTAAAATATAGCAGAAAGCTGCTATGTCGATTGTAGGCGCGAAGGCTATATAGAGCATAAAAGCAGGAGACATTAGATTATCTCACCGTTCTTTCTACAAGTCTTTCAGTAGTCTTATTCGGCAAGAGTAGAGCCGTGTGTAGCTCGTCTTTGCACTAGATCCAACAGAGTTTTAATTTTCTACAATTTTGGAATTTTCCTGATCTGATTTTATCACACGCATATAATATCCAATATTTAATTATTTGGAGATAGTACTACTAAAATTTTCTTAAAGAAATTTATTTTTGGGCCAGTAAAAGAAATATTGTTCAAAAATAAATACTTCATTTAATATAGAATGATAATTAATTATTCTAGCTTATTATAGGGATTATTTATTATTCACGAAACCCTATTAAAAATTTAAACCATTACTGCTAGTTAATTTACATGTATTATATTGGAAATAAAAATTTAAGTCTGAATTAGATATGTAAAGTATATAGCTATAAATTTATTATATTGATATCATTTGTAAGAAAATAAGAAAATATTGCATTAATGTATTATTTAATATGACTGAAGAAAATTATCCACCCAAGTTGGCTTCTTATATAAATTGCTAGTATTCTCTTATTACTCTTTGCTTTGCATTTATATTTGTGATCGACAGTACATTGAAAGCTTATAGCACCCCAAGAATATTATTTTTTGAATACTCACGTAAGAAGTTAGTATCTCGATTAATTTAATGATGGATTGATACTCTATATCTAATAGTTTGCTTGCAATGGATGATAATACTATATTAACAATAATTTAAAAATAATTTGTTTTGAT